GTCTGTGGAGGATATGGTGAATGCATTCGCGGCTAACACGTTGAGATTTCGGCAAGTGTTCTGCGAGCCATTAATTGAAAGAGATCCTGGTCCGTCGCTCGAGGAGATGATGATGGAGTTGACGTCTCACACCCTTAACTTTCAACAAAGTGTTGAGACGAACCTCGAGAGCCAAGGGATGCGCATAAGGAATTTGCAAGGCCAAATGAGCCAATTGGCGAACAAATGGACCGACTAGTGTGTCGAATCGAAACGATTCCAATGAGTTCAAGCGTCACCAGTTCGTGCAGCGAGGACCCCGAAGAGCCTGAAGAATGCACATACGAACTGGAGAACGAAAAAAATACGAATATAGAGAAAGCAGAGTCGAAGCAGCCGAGTACTGGGATACCCCGTACTCGACCTGCTGGACCCAGTACTCGACCTGCTGTAGCAAAAAAGCGTACCGTTCTCCCTGTTCTTGTGCCGATAGAAGCTGAACTGTGTCCTATGTACTCCAATATGAAATGGATACTGAGCAAGGATGCACTGAAACATGTCTTGGGCCTTCATATACCTTCTTTTGAGATGATTGAGCAGAACGAAAGGTGCAAATGGGAGTTTGATGAGATAGTAACCGTGATTGAGGATGGGTTGCTATACATTCATGAGGAGTCAGCTCCAAGGAGAAAAGACCCGGTGAAACACCCAACTCCAAAGAGTGAGTGTTTTGAAAAGCATGGCGTAGTGAGATTTGTGGCTCCCTTGAGGCCACCTCCGAAGCCGCCATGGATCTTTTGAAGAGAAGGAGCAATAAGTCGGACCAACGACAATAAAAAGAGGCGTTTGTTGGGAGGCAACCCAATGGTGTGCATGGTTCGGAGACTTCCTCTGCATTTATTAAGGTGAACTCGTTTCTTTTACCTCCATTTTTGTGCTTTTGTGTTTATTTGAGCGCCAATGATATATGCAAGCTCTAAGTTTGGGGAGGTATTTCTTGGTGAGCATTCATGATTTATTATGTGATTGTATTTATGCCCCTTAGAGTTTGAGTCTTAGATTATTTGCATGATGTTGTCCTGTGTGAGCATGAGATTGCATGTACGTGGAAATTTGCGATGATGATATGAAAGTGGGTTTGGATTTATTGTGCTAGTTTAAATGGCTTGGGTTGATTTTATTTGGTTAAATTCTTGAGGTGTTTTATTTTGGGGACAAAGGCATGA